CCGGACACAGGTGTTTGTGCCTCCTGTCTTTCACTTTGCCAGAGCTGTCCCCGTGCTGCGTGTCCCTGTGCCCTCGTGCCCTTGTGCCCCATGTCCCTGTGCTCTGTGTCCTCTTGTCCCTGTTCCCCGCCCGTGTCCCTGTGCCCTGTGCCACTATCTCTGTGACCCGTGCCCCTGTGCCCTGTGTCCGTGTGCCCCATGCCTCTATGTCCCTGTGTTCCGTGTCCTCGTGTCCCTGTGTCCCATGTCCTAGTGCCCCATGTCTCCCACTCCTGCACTGCTGTGAGCCAGCAGAAGGCCCACCTCCTGTTTAACCGCCTAGTGCAGTGATGGTGAACCTAAGACACGCGTGTCAGAGGTGACATGTGGACTCATTTGTTTGGTTGATTTTTCTTTGTTAAATGGCATTTAAATATATAAAATAAATATCAAAAATATAAATCTTTGTTTTACTATGGTTGCAAATATCAAAAAATTTCTATGTGACACGGTACCAGAGTTAAGTTAGGGTTTTTCAAAATGCTGACATTCCGAGCTCAAAAGGTTCACCATCACTGGTAGTGGGTTCGGGGCTCCACGCTGCCTCCAGGGCCCAGCGCACACATGCAATATATTACAGTCGTGACGAATTGTTTTGGCTCTTTGGTGTCAAATTATTATTCATGTGAATTCTGTTCTCTAAATGTCTGTTGCTAGTCCTGCACCTCTTTTAGCAGCGACTGTGAGGTATGTTTCTGGGCCTCTGCCTACACATTTCCTGGCCAGTGAGCTCACTCAGCCTTTCTGAGATGAATGAGTAAATTCTTAGCCGCCACCACTGAGGCTCAGTAGAAAACAGAAGGACAAGTACTGCCTTAAAAATGGACTTTATTAATTATTTTGTGCTATTTTGCTTAATGCAGTAAACTCTTTTTGACTTGAATCTTAATTTAGAATTTGTAAATGCAAAGTCTGAGGAAAAAAGTGTTTGTTAAAAGCAAAAACAACACTTCAGTGGTTCATAAGGCAGAATTTTTTTTTCTTAGGAAGCTCAGCAAATGACACAATAGAGCTGAAGTTTGAAGTAAATAAAGTGATGCTATTAAATGATTGAATAAAATTTTCTCAGGTTTCTTTTGACTTAGACCCTGCCTCTCCTCCCCCCAGTCACTATCCATTCAGGGGTAGATATTGCGAATGGTAATTATAGCCATTTAGCGAGCATCTATTTCTTGACAATCACCTTAACAAACACCCTCCGTTTAATGCTATTTAATTTCACAACTACTTGTGTGCTAGGAGCTAGCATGACACTTTAATAAACTAATATTGGTATATGATAAACACTTGAATTAATTAGCCCAGTTGCTCACTACACAGCAGTCACTGTGTTCTGTATTGCAGGTGTGTACTACATGTGTATCATGGGAGCACAGCCTCATGAAAGCAGTTATGACCAGAAGCAGCAAAATGAGTCTGTTCTTGCCTATTTTCAATGTTGGTGGGGATGGAAAGTTCACTAGTGAATCCCTAGTCTGGCCCCAGTGGTATCTGCACATGTTCACATTCACATAACTTTTGCTGACAAACTCTCTCTCCTTCTGACCCACATCCTAATGCCACCAAGTGCTTATATTTTTGCTATCTCAGGTCTTTTTTCATAAAAAATATTCTAACATTTTTCTTTTGAACTTATGCCTGTTTTTTAAAAAATATTTCTTTATTGGTTTCAGAGAGGAAGGGAGAAGGAGAGAGAGATAGAAACATCAATGATGAGAGAGAATCATTGATCGGCTGCCTCTGGCACACCCCCTACTGGGTATTGAGCCAGAAACCCAGGCACGTGCCCTTGGTTGGAATCGAATCTGGGACCCTTCAGTCCGCAAGCTGATTCTCCATGCCCTGAGCCAAGCCAGCTAAGGCCATGCCCTGTTTTTTTTACTCCAAATCTGTCTACTAGTAAGCTGATATATTTTGTAAATCCAACTAGCTGACCATGCTTTTAGTCAGTCCCCAGGAAGGAGAACCTGACAAGAAGTTAAGTGAGCCTGGCTGGTGCGGCTCAGTGGTTGAGCATTGTCCCATGCACTGGAAGGTCGTGGGTTCAATTCCTGGTCAGGGCAAAGGTTCAGTTGTGGCTTCGATCCCTGGTCGGGTGTATGCAGGAGGAACGGATCAATATTTCTCTTTTTCCTCCCCCTTTTCTCTCTGAAATAAATAAATAAAAACACATTTCAAAACACACACACATGAACTAGTTAGTGTAGTTTCACACTATGGGAATGAAGGAGATGCAGTAAGATGGCAGGAGAGGCAAAGGATAAGATGTGTAAATAGGGAGGAAGAGGCCTGTTGTATTTGACCAGGAGCAGCAATCTGAGAAGATAAAGGAATCGGGACATGGGCAAATATGATGTTTATCAGTGTTATTTGTTTTCAAATTTCTCTTTTCCTTCAAAAATTACAACTTTTGAAATAACATTTATTTTTTTGTCTCTGTTACTAGATTGCAAGTTCATAAGGGCAGGGACCATGGTCTGTTGGTTATCTTTCTTTCCCTAGTGCTTGTGGAATTTATATTTGTTGAATGAATGAATAAATGAATCAGTAAATGGATAAAACATAGGTGGCATAGGTGATGTGGACATGAAGTTTATTATTTAGCTAGAGGCCCGAAGCAGGAAATTCATGCAAGAGGCTTGGCCTTCACAGCCCTGGCTTCATCTGGAAGTTCGTTTGGCTGTCCTGTCTGATTAGCATATTATGCTTTTATTATTATAGACTAGGGGCCCAGTGCACGAAATTCATGCACTGGGTGGGGTGGGGGGGAGTGTCCCTCAGCCCAGCCTGCCCCCTCTCACATACTGGGAGCCCTCAGGCGTTAACCCCCATCACCCTCCAATCACAGGGTCGGCCCCTTGCCCAGGCCTGATGCCTCTGCCAGAGGTGTCAGGCCTGGGCAGGGGACCCTCATTTCCCCCTGATCACTGGTTCTGCCCCCCGCCCAGGCCTGATGCCTCTGGCCCAGGCATCAGGCCTGGGCAGGGGACCCCCACACCCCTCCGATTGCTGGGTCGCCCCTGGGCCAAGCCTGATGACTCTGGCCCAAGACTCAAGCCTGGGCAGAGGATCCCACTCTCCCCCTGAACACCGGCGCCGGCCTCGCCCAGGGCTGATGCAGTGTCTAGAAGGCGTCTACGCCGGTCTGAGGCACACTCCCTGATACCCACTCGCTCATACTTACCGCCGCACTGCGAGGTTTCTCGATTGGACAGGAGGCCTACATCTCCATCAGACGCTACATCCGAACCCACTTTCAGAAGTAGCCCCGCTAGTCAAGGCTAAGC